GAAGCATTACAACAGTTCCATCAGGCGAAGCATATATTTGTTCTTCTCGGCATCCGGAGTGATTTCAATATACCGAAACTACACTCTCTCCTCCATTACATCGCCTCGATTAAGTGCTTTGGCATGACGGACAACTACAATACGGAGTACACCGAACGCTTGCACATCGACTTCACCAAGGACGCCTATCGTGCGACAAACCACAAAGATGAATATCCGCAAATGACAAAATGGCTGACACGTCGTGAAAAGGTCCTTCGCCATGAGAAGTATATCAAATGGCGTGTTGCTGGCTGCCCGCCACCTGACGTTCCACAGACCGACGGCATGCCTGACCCGCGTGACCTGGGCTCACGTCCACACCTGCGAATGACCCGTCATCCAACCGTGAAGGCTGTCCCAGTATCTACCGTGAAACTCCAGTATGGTGCTCAATTTTTTGAAGCTGCCTTTGCTCGTTTCATGGTTCAGTACCATGAACCAAGATGGACCGCTTTCATCAGGAAAACCCTCCTAAGCTAATTATGTCTGATCATGTCTAATCCCGTATGATTATGCAGGATTAGCAGCATTATCCAATTTTATCTAATTATACAAGTTAGGTTTGTCCCCTAGCTAATTAGACATAATTATCACCCATTAGACAGTATCATATCCTATGAGACAGCAGTTATATTGCACTTTTCACTCATATGACATCAGTTCCCGGGATAGCAGGAGTATTAGAAAGATATATTCATAAGGTAGCTACAGACAGGCAAGTAACTACTGTCTCCCTGCCCTCATCAGCCCATTACTTTGCTCACAAAGCAGACTAGAAGCATTCCCAACAGCAGATGAGGACAGGAGAAGACATCAATAAAGCGGAACACAGATCATTGAAATATCAGAACACACCTATGACACAAACTACCTGGAACAGACACAACATGAGGACACACAAGCCAATGTACAGGATCATCAGCCATTGGCATACATTGCTTGGAAGAATAACTTACTCAAGAGTGGAGATATACGACAGGCACACACTCCGCAAAGCGCAGAGCCGCACGTAGTGAACTGCACGGGTTCGGGTAACCCGTGCGAGTCACGGGTAGGGGTATACGCGGGTACGGGAACAGGTCGCATTCTGCGGTACCCGTGACCCGGCGGGTCTCGATAACGCGTCGTTCGACGCGCTTTCGAAGCCGAAACCCGCGGGTACCCGCGTACCCGTACCCGACCCGTCGACGCGGGTTTCGTCGCAAGTGTGATACGGGTACATGCCGGGACACCGGTGGGTGTACCCGTGCAGTTCCCTAGCCGCACGCAATATGCATGTACATGTAAGGACACATCAGTGTCTGCAGCAGTAGCTGAACAACATGGAATACATACCGATCATCCAGCTCACAAGCATCTCGACCCATGCGAGCAGGCCATCAAACCGAAGGCGGGCATTGTCAATGAGAGCGAGGGGGATCCTGTATGCCGAGGGAAGGGTCTCGTGGCCATTGAAGCAACCTATCATCATGATATTTTGCGGTACATCTGAGTCACTCGTGACTGAACAAGTGGAACTTACCAGACAACCTTCCCGCGACACTGCGTGAGTCAGACCCTAGGAGAATAAGTCAGGCACCCGCGTCGGAAGGATGATGCTATCGAACCGACAAAGCCCCATGTGCGAGCACACGAACGTAGGCGACGGCAGGCGAGCCAGTGATGGAGAAAAGCGAGAGAGAGCAAGTGGAACGCGAATGTTGAACGTGGCGAATTGAATCGGAGTTCAAAACGCGGTATCAACAAAGTCATGTGACCGGCTACGTGTAACCGGATGACCGGGATCTGAGTCTGAGGAGAAAGCACTAAGTCCGTCAGGACTCTGGAGCTCGACCAGTGACAGTTTGTAGCTGCTTTTTGGGCTATGCTTCTCAGCCCCCCAAGCTCCTGCTACGTGACTGGGGCCATGCAGTGCGACTGATCTATACTACGGACATTCTAATCGTCTAATGTTATGTTTCTCACTGGCAACAGGACCATCTTGGGTCACATTTAGTGCCTTGACCCCCCACTTTAAAGGAATCGTGTACATAAGGTTCTATGCGCTCTTGCGCATTCAGCGCGTACGTTATAGGCAGTATAAGGCTCCGTTCGGTTGCACGGCCGCGTCGCGGCGCTCTCAAGGCGCCACAGCCAGCTCGGCCACGTGGCAGTGCTTTTAGTGAGACGCGATTGGCTGAAAGACTGTTTTGGCGTCGTTGGCCGCGACGGGGCCATGCATCCGAACAGAGCCTAACCCTCGATGTAGGGTAGAGGAAGGTCGAGACTATATACGTGCCGAGGTCCGGCAGATGCCAACCATGTGCACCTGCCGTTTTGGGCGGAGAATCCTGCCTTTTTGAGCACGCGCGAGAGCCTGGGGGGGACTTCTGCGACGTTGATACTAAACGGGTACAAGCCTCCATTAAAGACAGTTGCTCGTCTACTAAGTCTTTTTTAAGAGGCGCAGGATCAAGCCTAGTAACTATCCCTTAAAGCACCTTGCATTCTTGCCCTGCAGCTATAACTGCAAAGATCATTCGCCAGATGCATGCAGGCAGTCGCAAGGATTCGCACAAACACATTGATGACGGACTGTGTTACAAGAGTAGCTAATAAATGTACATCACTTTTTGCGAGGTGGTTCATGTAAATTATCTGTTGGTCATTCTGGATTATACAGCAGTAATGCGCATAAGAAGCATTTTTTGTCATCATACATAATTATGTCTAAATTATGTCTAATTAGCTCAGGAGGGTTTTCCTGATGTTTCAGGTTGAACAGGCGGCTGCGAACATATACCTCCCATTCCAGCGTCTCCCGGTGTTCCATAAGATCAAGTTCTGGATCAAGGATCCATTTCACCGTGGACTTGGTTCAGAGACATCGGACGCCGTCCACGTACGTCCATCGCGTCGAGATTCACGCGAGCGCGAGGTGCCCGCCCGCTTCGACACAGTGCTCGTCAATCTGGGCGTAGGCACGGGTACGGACATCCGGGGTGCGTCACTTGTTGCAGTTGAGCCCTTGTACTCATACAGCCACAGATTATCGTGTAGCACAAGTGCGTGTCGTATTCGCACTACCCCTTACCACCGTGGCGCGGTTATTCGAAAGGCCCC